AACAAAAGCAGAAATAGAAGAGCGCAGAAAGAAAGAGAAGACGAAATGGAGAGCGGCAAAGTGATATGATTTGAGGCGAATGCCATTGTTTGAAGCTGATTGAGTGCATGATTGAACGCCAATAGCAGCTTTAACGGCAAAGAGAAGGGGACTATCAAGATGTACATTATTTCAATTAAATATGTACATTAATCTTTGATACAACTTTAAATTTGCATTGATATTCTTTAAATGCATTAAATAAACACAAACGAAAAATATGCATTGCATACAAACTGACAAACGGTCGATGGCGCCTCTATCTCTCTCTCTCCCTCTTTCTAACAAGCCATAGATAGAACTGCGTGTGCGGAGGGTTGCCACCTGACAAAAAATATCTATTGTAACAAATAAAATGTACCAAATTTGATTAATATTGTTAAAAATATTTTTTATTTTCGAGAAAAAAGAAAACGTTTGTTCACCAAAACTGTTTTAACTTTTGATGAATTATACAAAATTTGCCCCTTTCTCTGTTTTTGAAGAGTTCTATATTTTTCTTCTCGTCCTCTTCCTCTCTTTTGAATTGCACTTTATAAGTTATTGTACTATATAAAACAATACAAAACGGTTTAATAACTATGAGATGGTAACTTAATTTATCTACAATGTAGAACTATCTTACATGCTTGTTGTTCAAAATTTAATTTAAGAGACATTGGCGTCCTGTTCTAACGTCCCTAAGTGAGCTTTGCCTTTTTAATGACTTTGCTATTGTTTCTCGCATTCCCCGAGCTGTTCCCTCTGCTTTTGGTCTCTTCTCTTTTCGTTTGCAGCTGCGTTTTCGACTTTTTCGTTTGGCCGTCTCCCTCTGACCGCCCGCTGTCAACCATGCTTTATGCATCGCATCTAAATTTAACTTTAAATTCTAAACAGTCAACAACATTTTGCAGCAGGCTGAGATTTGACCTGCCCCCCTTACAAATGCCCCCGCTGCTCTCCAACACATGCAGCTTTTCGTTGTTTTTGGTCTTTTACTTTTTGCTTTCTATTTTCGTTGCATATATATATATATATATATATATAGCAGGCATTGTTGCCTGCTTTTGAGTTCACGTTAGACCTCCAAAATGCTTAAGAGATACAGCAAAACTATTTTTGTATCCCATAGATACTCTAATGGGCAGATAGTATCTCGAAAGAAACAAGAGATACTCGCACATGGCGCAGTATTATTCATTTTTGGGGCGTGTAAATATGTGATATAAGTGAATACATTTTAGAAATGAATATTCAAAATTAATAATTTCTATGTTTTATGCTATCCTCGAGCATAATATAATCTAAGATGAAATGCATTAAAACTTCTACTAAACGAAATTCGCTTTGGGCCTGTTTTTTTCAATGTAAGTATGCACGTTGATCAACACTGCATACGCCTTTTGAGTATGGTGGCAACGCTCTGGGCAAAATCAGCTGTTTTTTGTTTACGTTTTAATTTGAATTGATATTTGCGCTGTGCAGAAATATTTAAAGGGGGAAGACTCTGATTTTTATATTTATACAATTCTATTTTAAAAAAAATCGACCTTATTCTTCTTGAACCAACTTAGAAACATCTTTAGACATACATTTTATTTTCTATAAACGTAGCCAAGATGCAAATACAAAAAAATATATCTATGTTTTACACAGTTTTCCACTCTTCAACATTTTTTGTAAGCGAACATCTCCAGCCGGAGTTTACTTTAAGTTTTCTCGTTTTTTATGGTTTACAGGGTATCGGCAAACGGTACTTTGCACATGTGTGTATCCAGCTAATGTCTAGCGTATGCTCGTTGCTGCTCATGAGTCGCTGAAGCAAATGCAGCGAAGCGCGCAGAGACCGCAGCATCACAAAAGCAAAGCAACATAACAGACAACAACAAACAACAACCACAAAAGCAAAATGCAACAAAGACAGCGATTGCCACAAGCGCAAGCACACAAACACACAAACACACCCACAAGCAAAAGCACAAGCACAAACACAAACGCAAACAGACGAAACACACAAAGAAGGAGACAGAATGGAGGCAACGAGCGCAACTGAAGTCGCTGCCGCTGCCGCTGCCGCTGTTTCTGCTGCTGACGCTGACTGAGGCCGTTGTCTGTTTTTGGTATGTATCCAACGCTGCATCGACGGCAGCAGCAGCAGCAGCAGCAGCAGCAGCAGTAACAACAACAAAACAGAGCAACTTATTTTTGTTTAGCTGCCACGTTTTTTCCGCTCTCTTTTGTTGTTTTTCGTATTTTTTCTTTTTCATATATATATTTTTTTTTTGTTTGCCTGCTTCTTTGGAGTTTGCTTTTGTGCTTTGTACGCTTTTTTTTTTTTGTGGATTTCTCTTTCGGCATGGAATTTTGCAGCCGCAGCAACAAAGAAAAAGCCACCAAAACGGAAAGAGAAATGAATTAAGCTGAAGGCTTTTTAGAAGCAGTCGCCGCCAACTGCTGCTGCGTGGGCCGTGTAAGCAGCAAAGAGAGAAACCAAGAAAATACAAAAAAAAAAAAAACAAAAAAATCATAGAAACAAAAATCAACGAATTGCAAGCGCAGTTTAATTGGCAGGCGGCGACTGCAGACGGCGGCGGTCAAGCAGCATAAATGGAATGGCCAATTGGCACGCATGTGTGTGTATGTGTGTGTGTGTGTGCTGTGGACAAGTCTAACTAGTTGGCATAATTGTTTTGTTTTGTTTTTTGTTTTGTTACTTGTTTTGTGCTTTAATTGGATTTCTTGTATGATTGACAGCATAACAGAACTTTTTTGATGTTGCAATCTTACTTTTGCCTTTTTTGCATTTAATCAAATGCGGTCACATTGCAGCAAAAAAATATATATATATGTATATACAGTGTTGAGCAATTACACCTCTTCCAACTGTCCGTCAAGGTCTGCTCCGCTTCCGCCTATTATCCGCCGTTGCTCTTATATCGATCATAACCACAACAAAGTGAGAAACAAAAAAAAACAACAAAAAGAACAAGGAGGCCTATTTCCGCTCCACTGTGATCGACACATACATACATATATAATTGTAATGCATAGGCAATGCAGAAGAAAAAAAACCGCTCGCTGATACGTCGCATACGAAAAATAAAAACATACATATGTAAAAGAGAGAGATAGAGAGAGAGCGAAAGCACATACGCTCTTCGTTGGGTGGTGGTACTCACATTTCACGCCGCCCTCGACCGATCACCGTTAACTGCCTTTCTGCTGGCCGCTCTCTCCGGCTCCAATATATTTGTTACTTGATCAAAGTCTTTAGTGCTTCTTCCATTCGTTGTTACTGTTATGTGACATTTTAGGCGGGCTAAACATGCCGTGCTGTTGTTGTTGTTGTTGTTGTTGTAGTTAAGGAAGACAAAAATACGAATCGGCGAAACCTCAGTTTGTTTTGGTGTTTGTTGCCCACTGTTTGGGATTTAAAAATTATATTTGCTTCGTTGTTGTCGTTGTGGTTGATATTTAGCATGCGCTGCAAAAAATACACATTATTGAACAACTTTGTATTTGAGAAACGAATAATTACAGATATTCTTCGCGATAAAACACTTTTCAGCTGCTGCTTTTGTAAATACATATATACGCACTCACACATGCATGTATACGCACACAAGACCCGCGCACTCACGTACACAACGAGGACGGCGGCAGCCGCTTCTTCTTCTTCTTGCTCTTTATTTCATGCACTTATTGAACAACAGACGTCGCAGCCTCTTATTTATTTTCTTGCTGCATATATTTGATAAACTTTTTGTGTAATTTCTATTTTAATTTGTTGTAAATTTCATTTTGAACTCGAAACACACAGCCACATAACAGACAAACACACACACACACACAACACAACACACACACACACGCGCGTGCCGACTCCGAATATTTTTCTTTTCTTTAAGCCATTTTCGTCGTCACATTTACAGCAAGAAGCACAAGCAATTTAGATGCTCCGCTTCTCTTTCACACGGCTACGCGGCTATATGGGCACTGATTTGCCGACTCGCTCTATCGCGTGCACTGCATACAAACACTCACGTAATTAAACTTATGTATTTTGCTTATTAAAGCATTCGCCTGCCATTCCGCACGTTGTGTATGTATGTCAAACCCACTGCACTTGTGTATTGAATGCAATTTGTTGCATAATTCAGAACAAAATACATGTGTAATGTATAATTAGGTATTTTTTTTCTTAAGCCAAGTTAAATACACACACGCGCAGCGGCAGTACACGTCCGTACCGTTCAAGCGAGAGCGAGAAACAATACACAAAAGAAAATGTGAAAAAGAGACACGGCTTGCAGTGTGACCATGCATGTCAAGAGTTATATTGGCTAAATATGCACATATAAATACCAGTTTGTTATTGAACTTAACCAGCACGCAATTCTAATAGTAACCTAATTGAAAATATAAATTTAAAAAAACACTTCATTAAAAGCGCCAAAACCTTTTCAACCATTCTGTAATTTGTCTGAGTTTGTTTTTAGAAATATCTGTTTCATAGCAGCCAGGCTTTGTTGTGGTTACATTCAAGATTTTACAGCACTGGCACTTTTCTGCACTTACAGCGTTGTATGTCGATTACTTATTTAACAATATCGATAGATTAACATAGTAATTAGTGTGTGTTGATTTTTAGTAGTGAGAGGAGCTCGCGTTGCGGACTGCATTGTTCAAATGCATAACTAATTTTGGCACTCAGTTAAAGTGCACCTTTAAAACATAAAATAAATATTAATAACCGACGCGCTGTACCGCCAAGACTTTAGCGACCTGTAATTCAAAATTGTGTGTGCCACTTACAATGGGAAGCGTGCGGCAGATTTTGTGATGCGCACAGAGCGCAACTTGGAGCGCAAAGAAAACGGCCAAAAAAGGTTGCAAATGAAATTAAAGACGAAAATCTAATACACAAGTGAAAATTTAAAAAGGTGGCAATATATAATTAAGTGCATGTACAATATATACATATATATTGTTCATATGTGTATATATATATATATGTGTACATGCGTGTGTACACATACATGCATATGGATAATTTAGTTCTGTGCGTTTGAGTCTGTGTGTGTGCGTGTTCATGTGCCAAACAAAAAAGGGCGTCACAAAAAAAATTTGTTGCAGCCAAAGCCAATTCAACACTAAAATCGAGACCCTAACGGACCGAAGGTGAGTGAGTGCCGAATATTGTTTATTGTCGCTTATTTTCGTGTTGTAGCTTAAATATCCACACCTACACACGTACACACAAGCCCGCGCACACAAAGCCAAACATGTTTTGTACCTTGCACGCAACGGTCTTATTCAAGTGCGTGTCTGTGTGTGTGTGTGTATTGGTTTATTTTTTATGTTCAGTGCATTTTTTATCGCTACCAGATCTCTGCTCTCGCGTCGAAGCTCTCCTACTGCCACTCTTTTATACACTCTCCAACGCTCGTACAATGGCTCGCAATTACAGTTAATAACAACTTCAATTTAATTCATTACAATAGAGAAATGCAACAGTCCGCGCTCTCAGTTTGGACAATCGGCTTCGTTGAGTGGCTCTCAGACCATCGTCAAATTCAATTAGCTGCACTTGCTACTCTCCATGTGAGTGTAACCGGTGCAGACATATGTGAAGCTGTTAGAGTAAATAGTGCAAAGATATGTGAAGCTGACCGCCTACTGTTCATCTCAAGTCGGTATTCTTTTGATTTCTCTTTCGCCGTTGTCGTCGTTGTTGTTGTTGTTGCTGCTGTTTTTGGAGCCAGGCACCGTTTGATCTACAACAATAACAACATCAACAATCGCAGGCTATGTCTGCAATTGAATTAAATTAAAAAAAAAAAAAAAAATAACGCAAGTGACGAGAATTATTTACTGTTTTGTGTATTGTTGTAGCTGCCGCTATTTGCGGCTGCTATTTCTGTTCAATTTTCGTATACTTTTTTTAATTTAATTTATACGTACACATACACACACACACATACACATGCTGCTTATCTCTTCACCTCAACTAATCCCATGCATTCATTTGCCGCTTCTCGCCTGACAACTGATGAAATTATTTATGATGCTCTCTACCTTCCCTCTCCTTAGCATTAAAAATGGTTCGTATGTTGTGCGTGTGGGTGTGTGTTGGTTTTTTCATTGAACAAAATATGTTTTATTTTATATACATATGCGCTCCTCTGACATTTATTCGATTTGAATAATTTCGTTGCTAAGAGCTCTGCAGCTGATGTAGACTTTAATGTGTAGACATAGACACATGCACACATACATATGTGTTTTTTAGGCACTTCGACTTGGCGTCGTCAGATTTTTAAGTACGTGACGTCACAAATGCGTATGAAGTATTTGAAATTAATATTCAATCCTCAACCGAAAATACTCTTATAGAATATACTTACAAATATGATAGCTTTTCCGAAAATCTGGGCATTTTCAGAAAAAGTTTGACTAAATCTATATAGGTTGTTTACTTATAAAAATGATCCAAAGGGTAATTTTCTCTCAAAGCGCTTTCAATTTTACAACTATAAAAAGCCACATTTCAAATCAACTTAAAAAAAAAAAGAAACAAACTAGCACAGTTTAAAATTAGAACCATAAACAGTTAATTAGTCGCTATCTAAGCGATTAGTTCCTTATTCAATTTGGCTTGAATTTCTGACATGGTCACTAGCATGTGAAGTGAATAACCCGCTTTGAGCAAATCTAATCGTTAAAGCTTATCTCTCGGTGTGACCAGCTTAGTAAGAACTATAAAATACCCTAGTCCTTTCTAGGCACAAAACTCATAGACTGTGGTGTGAACATTTTTAGCTTAAAAACCGAATGTGGCCAAAATAAACAAATGCGAATATTCGAGTAAAAGTGCTGCAATAAAATTGAAATTTTTGGTATTTTAATTTGTTTTTATCAAAGCCATTAATTTGGTAATAAAAAGTCCAGGAAATAATACTTATATAAATACTCGACTAGATACCCTCTACCATTCGAGTAGAAGTGCTCGACTAGGACATATTTTACAAATTCGACTATCTTCAACTCTTTGCTAAGCATTAATTTAAACATATAATTATGAGTTAAAAATACTTTAATAAATACGGGTCGAATAGAGGGTCGCAATATTTGAATTCGGGTGCGGCGCCCTGTTGCTAGGTCGCTTTTTTGTTGATATGTTTTTATTATGCTTTATTTGTTAGTTGGGGCAGCACGTGTACACATTCTAGCTTCCCTTTATCTCTCTTTCTCTCTCTCTCTCGCTCTCTCTCGCTTTTGCTCTCTGTCTTTAAGTGCCCCCCATTCTGCTTTTGTTTTGGGCACACGCCCAACAACGTTGCGGAAAACATGGCCAATATGTGCGCTATTAAAATAAACAACCAAAAACAAACACAAAAACAACAACAACAACAACAACCAAATACAAATGCTGAGGACAAAACCAATTTAATGGTTCGAAAAGTTCAAGAACAAAAGCAGCATTTTTGGCAAACGCAAAAGTTGCGCGAAAACACAAAAAAAAAAAACAAACAAAAAAAAAAAACAAAAAATATAAAGAAAAAAAGTGAAGTTTAATTAATTAGGTATGCAAATATTTGCGTGATATTTGGTGCTTTGTTTGGTTTTATGCTCTGATTATATTGCATATTGCATGATATAATATGGTTAGCACGCGGCTTACAAATTAAATATGTGCCTACAAACTCAATCTGAGGGCGTGGCCCATATATAATACGGCAAAATTTTGCTTAAAACCCAACTGAGTTATTTAATAAACTGGCAATATCGTCAGATTATTGTTCCGTAGAGCTAAACATTAGAATTGATATATATTCATAAACTTGCCCAAACTGGAAAAAGTTATATGTAAAGGGCAAAAAGTAGATAAATTATTTAAGCGTTAATGATTCAAGTACAAATAATATGCGGGTTCATTATTGTGTGCCTCCATATTTCTGTAAATTAAAGAAGAAACATTACGTATGACAGAGTACAAATAATAAATTGTAATTAGTTTCTCTTTTGTTAAGTTGTTGAAGGAAATTTGAAAAAAGTCGGTACATATTCTGTTAGTAGAGATTCCTGGATTCCTTCCAAGAGAGAATCCAAGATTTGTGGAAGAAAACATTGCAATAAGTATAACTATACAATACTTAGATAAAGTTATAGATTCCTAATCATTCTTTTCTTTAGTCATAACACTAATAAATGAAATGAAATGAAATTATTAGTTAAATCTTATTTATTAATAACAAGTAAGAGGCTGTAGTCGCAAGTGCCCGACTAGGGGATACCTTGCTTTATGAGTAATCAAAAAAAAAAAAAAACAGTATATAGGAATATATAGGACTTGCGCTCATAACAGGCCGCACGAATATACATATACATAGCTAAGATATTTACTCCAAGAACTTATCGATTGGAAACGGATCATGTTATCGATTATCGGAAACAAACTCGTACTGCGCTGGCACTAGGAGGACACACATTCCAAATTTCAAGACTCTAGCCCGGAGATCTCTGATTGACATACGGACGGACTGACTGACGGACATGACGGCTAGATCTAGGCTTGGCAATAGATATACACTTTTTAGCCAAATACACAGATATATTTTGAAGGCTTCAAATTTGAACAATCGGGTTTCAAAGAAGTTAAACTGCAAACCACAAATCAAACTTGCTTTCTGAGCAGTCCATAAATGTTAATTGGTTGTGCAAGTAAAAAACAGGATGACTAAGGCATATTATAATATACAACCTAATATATAGCAAAAATATACATTATAAAACCGCCTTCATTATATTCGTTTATCGGCGCTTATGTATTTTCTTGAGCCCTTGCACGGTTCTATCGTACTTTTCAGTGCCTCAATAGGTGTTTCCAGTTCCTGCCTGCTACGATATATATATATATATATATGCATGTCTAGTGTCTATAGCTGTTTCAAGTTTCTGCTGTAAATATATGTATATTATCTATTGTCTTTGTGACTCATCAACGCACTAAATTCTCACATAGCAGGCGAGTAGAAAACGCGTAAATTCTACAAACGACATTTGGCCGTCAACGTGTGGATGACCAAATCTGACACTGACCTTATAGGTAACAGCAGCAACAACAACAACAACAACAACAACACAAACTGACAGCTGCTGTTCCACTCAACTTAAACAACTTCCGTTGCTTATTTGTGCACTCAAACAAATTGCAAAAATATTGTAAAAAATTGTAAAATTGTTTGAAATAAAACACACACACACGCGAGCAACAACAGCTGCAATGACAACAACAACAACAACAACAACAACAACAGCAACAATTACAAAAGCAACAATAACAATTTTTCACTTTCACCCATCTGCAATAGACAAAGGGGTCGCGACTAAATTTGTTGGAAGGGGAAGCGGCGCAGTCTGTCAGTCTGTCAGTCTGTCAATCAAGAATTCAAAATCTTGATATTCGCACACAACACGCATTAGCATTAATTAAAAGCCAAAATGTATAAAATCAAAGTTTAAATTCACCTTTGCTATTATAACTAACGAAAAGTGTCAAGAAAATGCAATATTAATAACGAATGTAGATGTTTTTCTCAACATTATCGCTTTAATATCGCTTTTCTATCTTCCACTCAGTTGACCAAAGACATTCGCCTATGATTCGGTTTCGCCTGGGAGATACATTGACGATAAGCATCTCAACTTATCTCTGGGCTGTCGAAATATTCGGATTTCGAAAGATATAATATATGCCCCAGCTTTTGGTAACATCTTTTTATACCCTTGCAGAGGGTATTATAATTTTGTCGTGAAATGTGTAACGCATAGAAGGAGACATCTCCGACCCCATAAACTATATATATTCTTGATCAGCATCAACAGCCGAGTCGATATAGCCATGTCCGTCTGTCCGTCTGTCTGTTTCTATGCGAACTAGTCCCTCAGTTTTAAATCGATCGGTCGAAAATTAAGTTTTTGTATGAAAAAACATTTTGTTTATCAAGATATCTTGACAAAACTCGGCATTTATTAGTTTTACTATGCTCCTCATATATACGCAAAATCCTATTAAGATCGGACTACTATATCATATATCTGCCATAGGAACGATTAGTCGAAAACTAGGTTTTTCATTAAAAACCTTTTTTGTTTATCAATATATCTTGACCAAACTC